AGGGGACCGAGTGTCTCGGGCGAACGGCGCGGCTACAAGACAGGGTCACCAACAGTCTTCAGCCTGGCGAGGGACGCGGCTAGGACGAGACTCGACTCTCTGGCGTTCCGTGTTCGGTCCCCGCCGGGCCCGTGAGTCAGAATCCGCGCACGTGACTCAGGCCTGCGCTCTTTCGCTAGGTCCCTCTGCTCCTCTGCCCCCGCCCTCCAGCGGCTCCGCCCTACTCCCGCGCGGCACGCCGCTTCCGGTAGGGGCGGAAAGCGGAAGTGTGGGATGGTCTGCGGGGCGGGCTTGGAGAGGTCCCGGGGGAGGATGGAGCAGTGAGCGGGTTCGGGCCGCTGCCGGCAGCGCCATGGAGACGGTGCAGCTGAGGAACCCGCCGCGCCGGTGAGAGGGCCCTGGTTAAGAGGAATGGGCAGCTGCGAGGAGATACCTGTGTGGGATCCCCGGGAGAGGAGGGATCTGCGGGGCGGGGCGAACCGGCTGCCGGGGGCACCTGCGGAGTGGGGGAGTCTCTGGAAAGTGGGGGCTCGGTTGAGCGGAACACCCACCGAGTGGAATAACCTGGGCAGAAGTTAGGAGAAGCAGTAGCCTAGAGTGAGGGCACTCGGGCGAAGGCTATCCAAGGCTTGCTGGGATGGCGGGTGGAGGGTGCTGAAGCGGGCTGAGAACCCTGGGGGAGTCAAAGTCTGCTAGCTTTTCTAGCAGAGGAAGGCTGGGGTGGGCTTCCTGAGGGAGGGGTCCCACCTGAACGGCCCAGCTGGGGAGCATCTGTTGGGGGGTGGGGGCTAAAGTTTGCGCCTAAGGCTGAAGGCGTGGGAAGACCTGTGTGAGGGTCTAGTTAGAGAAGAGTTCTTGGAGGATGCCCTTGGTGGTGCCCCGTCCCCCCTTCAGGCTGATGATGACATCCAGAGTACCTGCTTCTCATCCTCCTTGTCCCTTCAAACCCGGTTTGAAACCGAGAAGAGTTGAGACACCTCCCTGTTTGTTTCCTTCTTTGCTCTTGGTCTGGGTGGGTGGACCCAGCCAGGTTGTGCCCTTTTCTGGCCTCTACTGGAATTGTCTTTAGGTCAAGATCAGGAGGTGTCTGATCTGGAAAGTGTCAGCTCCGGGGTTTGGTTGCATTTGCATTGCTCAGTGGTCACCAGGGTCTTATGTCACTCTGTCACATCTAGAAGAGAAGTGGGAAATAGAGACTGATAGTCGTACTTCTCTGAGGTGCTGTGTACTTCTGTTTCACAGCCTCTCTAACTTCCTGCAGCAGAAGGGTTACTAAAGTAGGAAGTGTTCAGTGTGTTGGGAGTGCAGGGGCAATGGAGAGGTGAAGGGAGGGATTAGGCACCGGGGTTGTTTGAAGTGCACAAACATTGCAGAAGGTAAGTAGTTGGTAGGGAAGGACTCAGAATTCATTGTAGTGTAGTGAGCTGAGACTGTAATAATGATGGTCATTACACACACATGGACCATTTAGTGTGCCAGTCGTTGTTCAAAGTGCTTTCCGTGTCTTCTCTTGATCTACATGAAATCGCTGATACTTGACCACTGTTGACCTGTAGAAATGGTAATTTCATACTGTTTCACCTGTTATTAACTCATGTGATCCTTACAACAGTCCTGGAAAGTGGCTGTCTCTATATCCCTGTTTTACATACAGATGATAAAACTGAGGCACAGAGAGGTTGGTGATTTGCCAGAGGCCCTACAACTAATAGGTGGCAGAGCTGAGATTTTATTCCAGGCACTTTGGTTCAAAGCCCCTACTTTTAACTCACTTCACTGCTTTTCTGGAAGTTCCCCTGTTTCACAGGGACTTGTGTAAGCAGATAGCTGCGATAGTACCATAGAGGTCCAGTTATAAGTGTACGCTGGTAATGTTTATGTTTCCCCCTGAAGTATGTACATTCTTTCTCCTTGAGAGCAAGGCCTTGGTTTAATTGAAAAGAGGAGTAGGAATCTGAGTTTTGTTTCTACCTCTGCTGTGTGTGGTGCAATTCTGGGCAAAGAAACAAGCCTTTTTTGCTTTTTGACATGCTCATTCCTGTACCTTTTAGATTTTTTTTATTTTTATTTTTTAAATTAAAATAGCAGAAAAAGGGCATTCAAGAGTGGGTTCTTGAATGACTAGAGCATTCATGGTCTTTGTAACTAGTGGACTGTAGCAGGTTAAATATTTTTACAACTTCATCAATTTATCTTATGTGTTTGCTGGAACTCATTCAAAATTCTGTGTAGAAAGGGTATAAAACCAAAACTAAACCAGTCGCTGTCAAGTCAACTCTGACTAACGGGAAAAAGAGGTGGGTGTCCATAAATAAAATAAACTTTATAGGAGTTCTTTGGATATGTCATCAGAAGAGCACAATCCTTAGAAAAAGTCATCATGTTTCATTTCATAAAGAAGAGGGTCAGCAAAAATGAGGGGGATGTTTAATGAATTAGATTGATGTAATAGCCACACCAGTGGTCTCAAATATAATAAAGATCGTGAAGATGGTGCAGACCAGGCAAAGTTTTGTTCTTTTGTCTATAACATCATTATGGGTCGGAGCCCACTTAATGGCCACCAGGAACAGCATTTGGGAGAAAGACGTAAGGGAGACCCGTGTGACTACTTTGTAGCACGCTTATTTGTGTCTGCAAAGATGTAGATGTCTTTTCAGAGATTCAGATGGCCTGCGTTTCCAACTCCAAGGCAGAAATGCTCTTTGTGTTCAGAGTTTGATATTTGTGTGTGACTGAGTGAATGATGGGCGCTCTGGTAGCATAGTGGCTAAGACACTTGACTGCTAACCGGAAGGCTGGTGGTTCAAACCCACCAGCCACTCCTCGGAAGGAAGATGGGGCAATCTACTTCCGTAGTGATACTGCCTCGGAAACCCAAGGAGGGGTCGCTATGAGTCGGGGCCGACTCGACGGCACATAACAACAACACAACAACAAGTGAATGATGCTAGATTGAAGTTGGTGTCTTATGTAGGGGTTGATGATTTTAAAAAGGGAGTTGCTATTAGATAAATGATGGTGTGGTGGAAGGTGTCAAGTGCATTCCTGGGATGCTGGCCACCTACACGGTCATCTGGTGTTGGAGAGGAGAACTAGTCTACGGAGGCAGTGTGGGCCAGGCCTATTCATTTATGAACCAGTGCTGAAACAACCTAGGGCCTGGGGGAAGTCCTGAGAGAGCTGCATCATCAAAGCAGAGCTGTTTCGGTAATAGTACTTGTTCCGTGAAGACTCATGGTATAAAAGGTCATCAAACTCACTTACTCTAAGAGTTTCCATAGAAATCTTACTCTTAGGCGAAATGGTGTTTTATTTTTAAAACTCACACAAAAATTATTGATGAAGCTATGATTCCCATCATTACATTCATTAATCCATTTAGCAAATATTTACTGATCAGGCACCAGAAGGAGCCCTGGTGACACAGCGGTTAAAGCCGTTGGCTGCTAACCAAAAGGCCGGCTGTTCGAACCCACCAGCTGCTCACAGGAGACAGATGTAGCAGTCTGCGTCATAAAGATTTATAGCCTTGGAAACCCTATAGGGTTGCTATGAGTCGGAATTGACTCAATGACTACCAGGGTTGTTTGGCTCAGGCACCAGAGATGTAAAGGTCCCTTAAGTTCAGGTTGTTTTAAATACTCTGGACCAAACACAAATAAAAAAACGCTTCAATTTTAAAAAAGACTATCTGAGCAGCCATATAAAGTTTGTCTGCCCAAGTATTATCACAGACTTGCAGCTGTTTCTTGCATGGTAAGGGCAGTTTCCTTTGTTAGGATGTGGTTTCTGTAGTCGTTGAAATAGTGAATTTTGCTTTTATATGCTACAAGAATCCACACTTCAGAGGAACACATTTGATCTTCCCTTATGTAAACTATTTATAAAACTTTGATTATACTTGAGGGTATTGTCCATTGTTTATGGCTTTAAAAAAACAAAACACAAAACCAAACCCCAAACGCTGGTTTATGAGATGTTTATTCTGACTTAGGAATTCATAGAAGTTTTAGTCCTGAGGTGTAAGAGGAGTTTCACTTCAGCCACTTATGTTTTGAGGCCGGGAGTTTTTATGATGTCATTGGAATTTAATTTTTAGGACCTTTTGATTTTCAAAAGTCAGTGTGGCATTTTGTTGTGTTGTTTTTCAAGTTAAGGCAATTACTGGCTTGGAACAGTTCTCCATTTTGCTAGTGCATGGTCCTTGATATTGATAGGATTCTGTAAGATTGTCCTTTTGATAGCAGTGCTTATGGGTAGAGACACTAAATCTGTTCAGGTGTTTCATCTTCTCTTCTGGTTTTGCCCTTGTCTCTAAGAAGGTACATGTGTGTGGGGGGGTGTCTGTGCATATTTATTTAAATCCAAGTCCTTTAAGAATTGGTATTGTCCAACTAGTTTAAACTTTTTCTTCACAAAGAAATCTCCAGTGTGACTATTTCCATATTTCACCATTTCCTGAGCTAGCTTTTCTTTGTTGTCCTTTGTAGTTTCAGGAAGCCATTGTTAGAAGATACACAAACACATTTCTTAACAAACTCCTTGAAACCCATTAATAATACAAAGAGAGAAACACTGAGTGGAGCTCTGTGGGGCTCTAGTTTGCAGAGGTCCCAGAGTTTGAAAGCCTGCTGTTTGTTAGGGTTCTGTTTGAAACCCATGTTTGTTAGGGTTCTGTAGCCTATGTCAGGGGCAGCCACACACCTTGATTCTGGGAATGAGGCAGAGGTGCGGGCTGCTCGTGGAGAGCTGTCGGGGACTTTGAAAGCCCCGGCTGCCTCGCTGCTTCTCACTTTGGATCATGTCTGAAGGGGTACATTCCACTTTTTGTTTCTGTGATACTTGTAATCTGCTTTTTTTTTTTTTTTTTCCTATTTTCTTAAAACAGTAGGAATTTGTTTTTTCACAGTTTGGGAGGGCAGAAGTTCAGTGACCTTTCTTTAGGCCAAAATCAAGGTGTTGGCAGGGCATGCTCCTTCCAGAAGCTTTAGGAGTGCAAAAAACGACATGGAGGCCACATGTTCTGACCTCCTAGAACCCCACAAGAGGAAGGCAGAATCACCAACAATAGCCCAAGGCCTATTACTGCAAAGCCAGACATGCTACCTCCCTCCAGCCCTTTCACCAACCGTTCTTCTCAAAGCACCCACCACCTCTCTCCTGGGTTCGATAATTTGCTGCAGTGGCCACATAGAACTCACAGATTACGGGGTTTATTAGGGAAGCCCCAGGCTACAACTCAAGTTCAGGAAGAACGCTCAGTCTCTCTCCCAGCCCACCGTCCCTCAGCCAACAGTCTCTCACAGTCTCTTTCCCAGCAATGCTTGTCCCTCGGTGTCTCACTCAGCAATGCATGTCTCTTGCATCTCTTTCCCAGCAACACGTGTCTCTTTTGGCAGCACGTCTTCCTCAACCGGCAGTCGGAGAGAGTTCTGCCTCTAGGAGGCCTCCTTTTGAGCTCAGCAGTGTGGTCAAACTAGCCAATCATAGCATCAGAACTCTAAGCACCTGAGAAAGAGTGGGAACCTCCCAGAACATTGTATTGTGCCACACCCAACAGAAATACTCCAGGTGGACAACTTCAGCAATCAGGAGCTCCTCAGTTGCTCATAGCAAATCCCACCTTGGAGTTTACAAAGACTTATGGGTAGAAAAGCCACACTAAGTAATTTACTACACCGCAAGGAGAGAATCCGTTCTTGCTCTTCTGGCTTCTGGTGGCTGCCAGCCTCCCTTTGCTCGTGGCGGCATCACTTCAGTCTTGCCTCCGTGGTCCCCTTGCTCCCTCCTCTTTTCTTTGTGTTGTGTGTGCCAAATCTGTCTGTGTCTCTCTTTTTTCCTTTTTAATTTATTTATGATCTACATGCTTTGACGAAATTACCAAAACTTTGCTAGTAAAGAGCAAAGGGTATGTTACATCTTCCTTGGCCTCCAGTCCAAGGCTAAGTTTCGGTTCCTAATTAGGCTTCTGTAAACATCTTTTCCAAAGAGATCATTATGCCACTTTGATTCATAGATTTTCGCATTTAAATGGATACATTAGGGCTGTACCTAATGCTTGATTCTATTCTACAGCATTTCAGGCTCATGATGATTTGTTGTCTGTTTAAAATCTTCAACAGTGAGAAACTAGGGACCTTTTAGAGCAGTCTAAACTATTTTAGGACAACTTTTATTGTTAGAAAACTCTTACACAAGTTGAACCTCTTGGCATCTCTCCAGCCTCTGGCCTGATTTTGCTCATCAGGGTGACCCAGAAGTGTAATCCTTCCAGAGAACAGGCTTTAGCTTCCCTAAAAGTCTCTCAGCTTGCCTTTGTGGTTGTTGCTTGTACAGTCTTTGTAGAGAAATTCCTAGGATACTAACTGTAAAATAAATAATATATTCCATCTTCTAGTTGCTAGCAAGTAAAATGTGTCTTATGCGTCTATTTCTTCCTTTACAGGCAGCTGAAGAAGTTGGATGAAGATAGTTTAACCAAACAACCAGAAGAAGTGTTTGATGTCTTAGAGAAACTTGGAGAGGGGTGAGTACACAGAAAAAAAAAATAAGTAGACCAGTTGCTTCTAGTCTTTTTCCTACACCAACACCAGAAGGATATGAACCCTTGTGTCAGTTCTTAAACCTGAGAAGAAGGAAGGGGGCTTTTGTATCTCATCACAGCTCTGGGTGGGTGGGAGGTCAGTTTACATATTGAAATGCTCTCTGCTCCATTACTATTACAATATTGGTGATTCTGGTCTTTTTTAACACCAGGGACATCTATTCTCTTTTGTAGAATCCCTGAAAGATTTGATGTATTTAATAGATCGCAGAAATTATAATCATTTTTCTATTTTTCTTAATCAGATATTTCTATTTCCTGCTCATAAGTTCTGATTGGTAGGCAGGGGCTGTTGTTTCAGTAAAAAGCAATGGGATTCAGTATTGTAGTTAGTGTAGCTTTGTGAAATGCAAGTAAGTCAAAGACTGTTTCCACCGTCACAGTTTCCTGTGAGATCCAAAATCTTTGTTGGGAACCAAAAGACATTTGAAGCACAGACTGATGGTTGAGTTTATAAAATACTGAAGAAATGATATTTAGTAATAGACACACAGCATCATTGACTTTCATGAGAAAATAAAGACTGCATGGTAAATTTAATCTTTGTATATTCTTGTGTAATGACCAAGACATTAAAATATTAGGGACACCCTTTCTTAAGGCTTTTTTTTGTGTGTTGTTGGTTGTTAATATTTGAATAAATAATAAGTTCATATAGTTCAAAGTTCAAAAAGTATGAAAGTATGCACGGTAAAAGAATTTGCCCTTCAACTCTCTCAGCCACCCTAAAGCAATCAATGCAGCAGTTTTTTGTGTATCTTTGAGAGATAGTTTGTATATAAACCTAAACCGAGGAACCAAACTCACTGCCGTCGAGTCAGGTCCGACTCATAGGGACCCCTCCTTGGGCTTCCGAGGTGGTATCTCTATGGAAGTAGATTGCCCAGTCTTCCTTCTGAGGAGCGGCTGGTGGGTTTGAGCCATCAGCCTTCTGATTAGCAGCCAAATGCCTTAGATATTACACCACCAGAGTTCCTAGTTTGTATATAAGCAGTAAGCAAATAAATGTGTGTATGTATTCTTTTAAAAAAACTTTGTGAGTACTTTTGGTTTAAGGGAAGACCTGACATATTAAAAAAAAATGACCTATTTTAAAAATGGCTATTGTCTAGGGAGCTGTGGTGGTGCAGTGCCTAAGGCATTTGACTGCTAACCAGAAGACTGGTGGTTCAAACCCACCAGCCGCTCCTCAGAAGGGAGCTTGAGCAATCTACTTCTGTAGAGATACCACTTCAGAAACCCAAGGAGGGGTCGCTATGAGTTGGAGCCAGCTAGACGGCAGTGAGTTTTTTTTTAATTTTTTTTTTTTAAATGCGTTGTTAGATTATTTTTTGAATTTGATGTCATTTACTCCTGTAGGATCACTGTGAGTCTGAATCGCCTCGGTGGCAATGGCTTTTTGGGTCATATCTAATGTAGATGTGTGATAATGTATTTCATGGAGTAGTTTTTGATGAAATACCTCTTTGTAAAAAACATTAGTCATAGTCTTTTTGTAAGTTGAAAAAATCCTCTTTGGAATCAAGTAAGGCATCAAGCACAGAAGAGAAATAAAAGCTGACACCAGCTGTGCTGCTAAAAGACAAGTCCAAGACTGATCTGAAGACAGTAAGTTGACTGGCATCATTAAAAGTATGGAAAGATGGCAGTCCCTCCAAAGCTCTTGCTTGCCAATTTCAGCTTAAGCTTGGTATCTTTGCTTTTTTTTTTTTTTAAAAGCTTTTTATTGTGATTTTGGTGAAAGTTTACAGAACAAACTGATTTTCCATTCAGCCATTTTGTGACATTGATTGCAGTCTCCACAGTGTAACAGCTCTCTTCCCTGTGTTTCCTGTTTCTGTTCATCTTTCCTGTCCCTCCCTGCCTTCTGAGCTTTATCCCTGGGCAAATGCTGCCCTTTGGATCTCATGTGGCTGATTGTTCTAAGGGGTATGTACCTCTTTGGTGCTATTCACTTTATAGGGCTGTCTGTCACTTGACTGAAAGTTGAACCACAGGGATGAGTTCAGTTCCAGGCTTGAAGGGTGTCTAAGGGCCATAGTCTTGAGGGTTACTGTAGCCTGTCTATTTGCCTCAAGGCAATTAGTCCAAGTTTCTTCATCTAACAATGCTCGTAGGTTACGAGATAAGATAGATACAGGAAAGCATCATTGACCGTGTAATTAACTTTTACTTTTAATAAGTTTCTTAACAGTAGTAAGAGCATAGATTTTGAAGTCAGACAGATGTGGGTTCATATCTTGGCTCTACTATTTATTAATCATGAGAACTTGAGCAATTGCTTAATGTTTTGAAGCTTCGCTTTCCTCATCTGTTAAATGAGGATAATATTATCTGTCTCATAGGGTTGTGTAAATAGTACGTGAGCTGCTG